ACATTTATTTACTTATTCATCCATTCACTTATTCCTTAATAATTAGATAATATGCAAATCAGAAGAATAGTTTTTCTAATTATAATTAATATAATTTGTTATACCAGTTAGGATCTGATGCTGTAATAAAAAAAAAAAAACAGACCCCAACATTTCAGCAGCTTAAAACAATAGAATTTTATTTCTTGCTTGTTATAGACCTGTTTGTTTAGAAACGTGAAGCAATTTGTCTACAGAGTCTTTCAAAATCCAGGTTGTCAGCAGCTATACCATCTTCATACATGACTGTTAAGATCACCCTAACAGCTGCTATTGCAATTGACGGGAAGAGAAAAGAGAATAGAGAAGCACATGGGAGATTTTTATAGACCAGCTGTGGAACCCAGATTCTATTCAATATAATTCAGTTCACAACTAATGTAAAAGAGACTGGGGAATACACTCAACTCTGTGTTTGAAGAAACAGACATCAGATTTGGATCTCTTGCTCATCAAGTTTAGAAAGAAAAAAAAATAACTATAAGTATCTTTTGAACTAAAATTCTAAATTTTCTGTCACATTGTAGTAAGAAGAAAATAAGTATTTTCTGCAGAGTACTAATTATTATTATTACTATGATTGGCAAACATACACACACAGGCACTAAATGTTTGAGAGTCTGTTTAGCAGACAGGGAAATATGTACAATGGTTAGGAACTGTACTTGGTTAGAGTAGTTAACCAAGTTATGGTGAGATAATTCACCAAATCTCTTCTAGTGTTAATCATCTTCATCTATAAAACAAAAATAGTAATCCTACCTACTTCATTAGGATACGATGTGGATTAGTTGGGTTATGCATAAAGCAATTAGAACAAGTCATGGCACATAGTGCTCCACAAGTTTGCACTGTTACTACAATCAGCACAATGAGTGCTTTGCTCAGACAGCCTTTAATTCCTTGCTACACCCATTTTCACTTATTTTAAGCACAAAGAATTGTAAATGAAGTGCAAAGGGGTTTCAATTCCAATTCAATTAGCCAGTGAGTTCAGTAATATTTTTTCAAGTCCCTCTTCATTTACAAGACCAAATGAGAACTTCAAAGATGAAAGATCACTAGAGGCAGTAAGTAGCACATTCAAGCCAATCACTCATATAGTTCCCGCCTTACCCCCATCCTTCTCACTAGGATGGAAAGGTTAAACTGAAAGAAGAGTAGAGGAGGAAATCGTGTGGGTAAGCAGAGATATTCTGGCACTCCCGGGGGTCTAAGCAAATAGTTGTTCCAAGGTGCTGCCTGGGTGAGGGAGCTGGAAGGTAGTGTAAGAGTGAGCCACCATGCTGACGATGGGGGAAAGTCTATGATCACCCTTGACAGGAAGTAAACATGTCCATGCACAGAAGCTCACAAACAGCAGGCACTGAGATTACACATTCCTTGGCACTGACATATATATTAATAACCAGTTATGTCTGGCAGTCACTGGCAATCCAAAAGCCCCAGTCTGGACTCTGTTCCTCTTTCTTTTTTGTTATTTCTCTTTTTAACAGCTTTATTGAGATATAATCCACATGCCTTTAAATTCGCTTTTTAAAAAGTAGATAATTCAGTGTTTTTAATATATTCACAGAATTATGCAATCACCACCACTATCCAATTCCAGAAGGTTTCATTACCTAGAAAGAAATCATGCAACTATTAGCAGTCACTCCCTATAGCCCCTGAAAAACCACTAATCTGTCTCTATGAATTTGTTTATTCTGGATTTTTATATAAATGGATTAATATATATGTGGCCTTTTGTTATTGGCTTCTTTTGCTTAGCATAATTTTTTAAAAATTCATCCATGTCATAGCATATGTCAGCATTTCCTTGTTATGGCTAAATAATATTTCATTGTACGAATACACCACTTTTATCTCAACATTTGGACACTTAGGTTGTTTCCATTTATTGAATACTGTGAATAATACTGCTGTAAACAATTGTATGTAAATTTTTATGTGGATATTTTTCTTGGGCACATGCCTAGGATTGGAATTGCTTAGTTATATGGCAACTCCATGATTAATTTTGGGGCATTGCTGAACTGTTCTCTAAAGCAGCTGCATGAATTTACATTCACACCAGCAACGTATGAGGGTTCCAGTTTCTCCACATCCTCATCAAGGTTTGTTATTGTCTGTCTTTTTTCATTATAGTCATCCTAGTGTGTCTGATGTGATCTCTCATTGTGGTTTTAATTTTATTTCTCTAATGACAATGATGTTGAAATATTTTGATGTATATATTGGTCATTTGTATGTCTTCCATGAAGAACTGTCTATTCAAATCTTTTGTACATTTTTCAATTTGTTTATTGTCGAGTTGTAATTTATTTTATAAAATAACTGTCCATTCAAAACTTTTGCCCATTTTTCAATTTGTTTATTATCAAGTTGTAAGTTATTTTATAAAAGGACTTATATTGATACAAGTCCTTTATCATATATATGAGCTCTAAATATTCTCTCCCATTCTGTATGTGGTCTTTTCACTTTCTTGATGGCTTTTGAGTGAATGCTGCTGAAAGACCAAACCAAATGAAACATGACACCCAGCTAGACCGTTCCCAATCATCAGAGGATGTAATGTTGTTTACGTCCAACAAAATGTTCTGACAGATAAGCAAAGCTATTATTAATTTGAACTAAAATGTGACGTACATGACATATAGTGTTAAAACATTCCTTTTGACATAGCTCCCCTTTATCCATTCTGACTTAGGAAAAAATGCTAAGCATTGTGTTCTTTGCCTTTGCTTAAATGTCATACCCTCCTAAATTACTGAAAGGAATTAGTATAGGCAAACTTTAAATGAAAGAAATAAAACAGTAAGATCTCTAAAGTTGTTTCAATACATGGACTACACACATTATTTGAAAAACTATGCTGTGGAATTAAGGATGTGTGGCAGAAAACTTTTAAATTAGCTCTACTATTACATTCCATAAAGCTGAACTCAACTTGCATGTAAAAATAAAAGAAATTCCATGAGTCAAATAATCTATTTTCAGAGAATCATATCAACCACAATGGATCGCCTTTCTGGAAAGTAACAAATTCAAGCCTGGGATCCTGGGTCACAGCCTAGGTACCCTTCACTTGGCTTATGAAGCTAAGCAGGCTGCTCCCTGAGGCAGAGGCTTCCTTGCCAGTGCTCATGTTCCAGCTGAATACTCACTGCGGTTTCAGGTCAATCCCTTTGGAGGAAATGAGATTGACTCCACCAATGCAGGAGAGCCACATAAAGATAAATGAATCTGAACTCTAGAGCTTCTGCTTGCCATTTTGAATCAGAAAGACAAACAAATGGACATATTTCTGCCCAGGAACATTTCCACATTTCCAAGGAGAAAACTAGTACCATACTTTCAGTGGAGGAGAAGCAGCAACGTCCAAAGAAACGTTTTGGAGGTGCAACAGGAAGATGAGGAAGAGGAGGAGAAGAGGGAGGAGGAGATAGAAAATCTGGATAAGAAAAAACTGTTTGGGTCCAGTTTCAAGATTCAAAGGAGTTGTCACCAAATCTGAAAATTGCAACAGACTAATTTGGGGTAAAAATAATTAATCTTTAATTGTGACAAATGTGTGTACTATATTGAAGTTGAAATTTTTTCATAGTCAAAAATATATTTTTAACAAATATGCATATTTAGTAGCTATAACGCATTTTTCTTAAAATTAAATTAAATTAAACTAATCTTTTCAGATTAGTCAATCAATAACCATTTAAAAATGTCTTCATATGGAGGTCACCCAGCTATATGCTCAGATACAATCAGATGAATTTTAGTAAGTCACATTCACATATTTCAAGGCCTCTAAAGATCAGGACAAAATTTTAAAAAGATAAAGACAAAATAAAAAGAGATCTTATTTTACAGCACTAACCTTTATGTTAATGTCACTCTAACTCTACTTTATTGTTTCTGTCTTGAAAACTGTTCCACAGGGGTTATTGCCCGTTGTATGTTCTTAGTGCTTGAAACATGAAGGTGACAAATAGATTGGTCTTATAGATTATCTGGAGAATATATGAAAAAGAAAATTAACATGCAGTTAAAAAATTTTAAACCAGGAAGAAAATGTCTGCAAATTTAAAGAGGTTATTTAAGAAATACGTTAAAAGCTACTTACACCATGACTGTAAACAAGGTTAAAAATTTAGAATAACTCTTTCAACTTTTGCTTATGAATATACAATTTAAAGTGAAGAAGTCAAAAGAGCTTTGTTGATCCTAAGTCCATGGCAATGGTCAATGCATGATTAATCTTGGTTTGGATAGACAGGAGTATATTGGGTATGATTTGGCAAGTCTAGTAAAATATCCCCTGCCTAGAAATACCTTGCCCAGCAGCAGGTCAAAGTACCCACTGGCCACTAGGTCATCTTGACATCAGTTTGTGTTACCATCTTTTTTCTCTTTGGGCTAAAGGAGTGCAATGGCGCGATCTCGGCTCACCGCAACCTCCGCCTCCTGGGTTCAGGCAATTCTCCTGCCTCAGCCTCCTGAGTAGCTGGGATTACAGGCATGTGCCACTATGCCCAGCTGATTTTTTGTATTTTTAGTAGAGACGGGGTTTCACCCTGTTGACCAGGATGGTCTCGATCTCTTGACCTCGTGATCCACCCGCCTCGGCCTCCCAAAGTGCTTGGATTACAGGCGTGAGCCACCACGCCCGGCCCCAAGGAGAACTTTTTAAAACAGAAATTCCAAAACCACAAAGGGGAAAACTTTTGACATATTTATATATTTATGTTGTGGCAAATGTTTACAAATTGTAGACTGGAAAAATATTTCCAATATAATTGATAGAAAAAATTTATCATATAAATTAAGAAATAATCAATCCAGAAGTAAATGGCTAAAAATATGAACAAACCTATCAGAGAAGAAGAATTGCAAATTGCCTGTTTCCACAAAAGTTGACTCTGTTCTGCTCCCCATTCTGGTTAGGTACAATGTTTTAGAGTAAGATCAGGGTCAACGGCAGCCTAGTCAGGAAAAATTACGTATGCTATGAGGAGAGTTTCTTTCTCTCTTTTTCCAGCCCATGATTCCATTAGGGTGCTGAAATCTTTAAGAAAACTTACATATGCTATCGTTTATTATCTTGATGGGAGCTACCAGGAAAAGCAACAGAGCTGCATTAGGAAATCTTCTCTCAAGGATATATGCTAAATTTAATCCTTTAATATAGAATTCAAATTGTATTTTCCCTACTTGTGTGAGGTAAAGTCTTCTCACTAGTCTCTTCTGAGCTGTTACCCCAAATAAAGTAGAGCTAAGAAACCACATATGGCACCACCTCCACCTTTCACTAGGTTCTCTGTGGAAAAGAACATAGTTCTGGACAATCCCACAATACTGTCAACTATTGATTTCCTTTTATTTAAAGATTATAAGATTATTTTGATTTTATATTTCTTCTGGAGTCAATTTTGACACATTTTATCTTTCTTTATTTGAATCCTTTTATTATGTTGTTGCCAGAATAAATATCTGTATAACATGTACAGTCATAGAAAATTATATTAAAGCCATGGTGATTAGGCTTGTCATTTCCCCAGTGTATCTACAAATATGTTTCTTTATAGCTAGATTTTACCATATTCTTAAAATATCACATACATATACACTCTACATTAGCATTAGGAAATCAATGAACAGTTGCAAGATTTCAATATTGGCTTGGTTTTGTTTTTATCAAAGAGATCCCCTCTCCCCTACCCACTCTCTCTGTTTCTCTCCCTTTCTCTTTCTGTCTTTAGCTGCATGGCTCCCTTTTTCAAAAAAATTATTTCCATAAGTTATCGGGGAACAGGTGGTATTCAGTTACATGAGTAAGTTCTTTAGTGGTGATTTCTGCCTTGCCTAACAGAGATCCTTGGGGAGGGCTGCCAGAGGCACTGGGAAATGACACATTTTATCATTCTAGAAAAGTATCTATTTTATCTAAGTTTTCAAATTTTCAACATTATAAGTTGTATATTTTATAATATAGCCAATATATTTATCTGTTTCCTATTTTTCATTCCAAATATCGCTTAATGCTTTTGTGCTAAACAAACTGGCCAAGGTCATGTTTAATTGGTATTATTACATTTTTAAACAAATTATGTTTTGCTTTGTTGATTCTTTTTTGCCTATCCTTTCTTCTAGTTCATAAATTCTTGCTTATTTTCTTCTTTCTACTTTTTTGGTGGTTTGTTTTCATTTTATTTTTTCAAATTCTGAGATATACCCTTAGCATTTCAATATTTCGATGTTATCATTTTGTAATGTAAGTATTTAAAGCTATGAATTTTCCTCTAACTTCAACTATATCCCACAAGTTTTGATAAGTAATAATTTCATTATCATTTACTTCTTAGTATTCTCTAGTTTTTATTACAGACTTTCCTTTAATTTTTAAGTACTTAGACTTTTTGTTTCAAACATATAAGACTATATGATGTCAAGGCTATAATACTGATATGTTCATATTTATTCTTTGATATTAAGATATTTATAGCCTAACATGTAGTCAATTTTTATAACTGTTATATATACATAAGAAGAAATTATATTCTTGATGGGTGCAGAGTTCTATAAACAGTCTTTAAGGAAGCTTATTATTATTCAAATATTCTCCATTGTTTTTAATTTTTGGTCTTTCTTATATACCTTAGGTAGGAGACATATTAAAATCTCCCACTATGATACTGAGTTTGTCAATATCTTTCTCTAGGTCTGTTACTTTTTGCTTTAGGTGAAATCAATATTATTAGATACATACAAGTTTGGTTGTTACATCTTTCTGGTAAATTAAAACTATAAGAATGCTTTTGCTTTAGTGACTATTTTGTTTAATATTACACCAGCTGTATCAAACTTTTGGTTAGTATTCAACTTTTTATAGCCCGTATTTCTATATCCTATATTTTATTTGTAACACTTATAAGTAATAAATAGCAGAAATCTATTTTTGTCTAATCTGAAAATCTCTGCATTTAATTGCTAAATTTTATTTATTTACATTTATTGATATTGTTGGTGTTCTTAGATTAAATTTATTTTTAGAATTACAGAAGCGTATTTTATGTTGCTTATTTTATTTATACTTTTTTCTTTCTTCTTTTCTCCCTTCCTATGAAGTTTTCTCTAATGAATTGAAAGATATGCACTCTATTTCTATTCCTTTAGTAGTTAATCTTACTACTTAAGATAAATACAAATCAAAGTGTGATGTATACTGTATTTCTAACCTCTTCTTAAATAATATAGGGCTTTTGAAAGTCTAAATTTGTATTAACACCCTCCCAATTTATCTCATTCCCATCCAGCCTTTTAACTATTTATTTTATTACTCTTAGGAGATATTTCATTATTTTATGTATTTATGGGTAGTCATATGTGTGTATACACAGACATAAATGACACAGTGTTCTGGCAATTTATTGCCACATAAATGACAAAGTGTCCTGGCAATTTATTGCTTCTACCTGTTCTTGAATCTTATATGATCCTTTATTAATAATTTATTAATTTAAATTTATACATTTCTATGTATTTGTCCATTTGTTCAATCATCCTTGCTTGAGTCTCAGACCTTCCTTTGGGATAACTTACTTTCTTCTTTCATAAAGACAATCCTCTTGAGTTGTAGTTGAGCTTTACATGTAAATAAGGTTTGACATTTATTTTCTCTCAACATTTTTATTATAAAATATTCTAAAACTTTGCAATATTATTTCAATGTCTTCAGTCTGTATTGTTACTGATAAGAAGTTTGATGTGATACTAATTATCTTTTCTTTAAAACTAATTCAACTGTCCTTTCTTTTAAGGTCTTTTCTTTGTCTTCATTGTTCATCAGTTTCCATGCAATGTTTTCAGTTTCCTGAATCTGAGGACGTGTCTTCCATCAATTCTGAAAAACTGGGTTTCCCCATGCTCACTCTTCTCTCTTTCTAAAATAACAGTTAGACTGATGATATGGTTTCTTAGATTATTCTCCATGTCTTTTATCTTCCTTATTTATTTTTCATCTCTTGGTCTCTCTGTGTTGAAATCTGGGTAATTTCTTTGGCTATATTTTCCAGTTTTCCAATTATCTCTTCACCTGCGTCTAATATTCTGTCAACCCACCCATTTAGCTTTTAATATCAAAGATACATGTTTCTAGAAGTTCTGTCTGGAATTTTTTTCAGATCTGCCTACCTATTTTTATAAATATTATCCCTTATTAATATTTTTAATTCCTTTTCTGTTTAAGAATTTTAAAACAAATTTATTTTATATTCTATACCCTATCCTCAACATCTGAGGATCTATAAGGTGAACTTCTGCTCTTTGTTTTTCTTTTCCTTTTATTCTCCTGACTCTGATTTGTATAATTTGTTTGCTCAGACTATTTGTAATTTTGGATGATGGGCTCATGTTTAGCTAGGCTCTATCTGTAGGAATCCTGCAATACCCGGTTTGTGTATTCAGCAAGAAAAAAATTTTTTTTTTTTTTTTTTGCTTATGTCAAGATATTCAGAATGCTAGAAACCCAGGGGATAACTTTAGGTTAGTTTTTAAGTCTGAGTTTTCTAAACTATGCCAGAAGTACAAACTCAATCACCAACACTGAGGCTTAAATTCAGTTCATTCTTTGTCTCTCTTTTCAAACAGGCATTTTTTTCTTCCTGCCCTGATCCTTTCACTGAGCATGTGTGTCAGTTCCACAGCCCACATTTCACACGGGACCAGGTCTGCGTTACCTGCCCTTCTGTGGCTATTAAAATACAAACTTATAAAGGGGCAAATGACCTAAGGTCAGTTGCAGATTCAGTATCAACTACCACCTTCATATACAACCCTGTATACACCTAGAGTATACATAATCCACACGGGGAGTTCTGTGGGTTATTTTTGACCAGGAAATATGAAAGTGAATCACTATACTCTAGTGATAAGAGCAATAAATTGTGATGTTTTGGAGCTATTGGTGCTCATTTTTGCCTCATGTGAATTAAAACAATCTTTTGAAAGAATAATAAGACTAAGGTACAAAGTGAAGCAGAGATAAGAAGTAATGATGAAATGTCCCAGCAATTTATTGCTTCTACTTAGATGATCCAGTTGAGTGTCTGTCCTTCCCATGATTAATTAACTTTACCTTTCCTTTAATTGCTGAGAAATCTTTTGGTATAAACTAGTCAAATTATGTTTCTGAGCTTTGCAATAAAAGGAGTCCTGACTAATACACAATTATTTTATTTTACATATCTTTTTCTTTTTCATATCCTGCAAATCCTATGCATTATATGACAACTGATAGTTCTTGAATTAAATTGACTTAAATAAGATGAGCACAGTAGTTCTACTGAGACTTAAAAATCAACTTTTTGTTTGATCCCAGACTACTTCTAGACAGTGCTTTTAAAATGTTCCAATAATCAGGATCTAAAGAAATAAAGCAGCCTAAAAACTGACTCAAATATCAGCCCCACCAACGTGGGCAAAAAATGATGCTGCCTTCCAGCACAAAACTCACATGCTCTAAGGACCCTTGATAATCAACCCTGTGCAATAAAATAAATGCTCAAGTGCTAATCTGAATTGTCTGAATATTGAAAATTTTCCTGAAGTCCTTAGAAAGACTTTATAGTCATGATTCTAAAACATAGAAACAATATCACATTTTAAAATCAGTGACTAAGTGTACACAAAAACAGGAGTAAAGGTCTGAAGCAACTGATTGGGTAATGCACATCAAAACATGCTACTATATAAAAATACTTTTGTGCCTCAAGTCAGCCATGTTGCCAGTCATTAGTGATCAAATCTTTGGCATTGCTTCTCACCTCTTGGATACATAAAATCAATGAAGCAGACTAATCAGAATGGAGCTTAGGGTATAAAAATTAAATCTTTATGCTGTCCTGGAAGTTGGCTGTCAAATAGTGAACAAGTAAAATAAAGGCCTAATTTTTATTACTTCTCTCCATGCTTAAATCCTAATATA